ATATATATTAATTATGTCAGCCCATGGGTTGATAAAAGTGTAAGCTCTACCCAATGACCCAGATTAAATCTAAAATGATATGGCGGTCACAATTACATTTCATATTTAAATTTTAATATGTTTTCTACAGATCTAAATCACGTGAAATTTGAAAAAAACCTATATGTACCTACTTTATAGAAGGACATGGTTCTCAGTAGGGCATCATGGTAAGATTGTCAAATAAATTACATCTCTATAGCATATCGCATAACATATGGTCTCTGTCACATGATCCAAAACTGTACGATAACAACTTCCCCAGGAGTTTGGACTCGAGATAAAATTTCAGTCATTATCCCAATTACATGGCTATAAAGATGAGGAAGGTGCAAAACATCATCCAATAACCTCACGACATTAAGCTGTTGATCATAGTCCCAATTACATGACTCAAAACCATGAGAGGAGTGGAAGTCAGCCAAACTACTAATTCTGGGCACTTGCGCATCATCCAATTCTAGGCCATCGTCATTGGAGATATTCCCCCTCTTCAAGGTAATTGGACTCCTTCCTCATATACTCTAAATCAGCATCTCCCTCTTTCGCAACTTTTGTTTCCCTTCCTCTTTGTATGTAGCAAATCACCGTTGTCAGTAGCGACCCCTGTAGCATTCTCAACATTTGCCCAATTCAAACCGTCCAAGAAGAATCTCGTCATTGGGTTGAGTAGCAATCACTGCATTTGTCGATTCCTGAAAGGTGATTAGGTGAATTTAAGTGTTTACTGAAACTGCTCCTCTACTCGTTGCTTGTACTAGACGATCTGTGAGTTTTCCTTGTTCGAGCCTATTTTTATTTATGCTATGACTTGTGAAAAATCAAAGCATTTAGAGAGAGAACATTGATACAAAATAAATCTCAACAAGTATTCTAAATCCGAAAGGAACAAAGCCAGAAACATAATAACTAGTTTTTTAGTGCATCCAGTTGTGAGTGCAAATGGAATACATTTGAACAAGCAACATACAAATGAGTAAAACCTGCTTAAATGTACTCCAATTATTCTCACAACCAAATCCACTACATATCAAACTCCAAATGGGGTTGCTCGCCCTCTACACGTTAAGTAGTGCACTTGTGTTGTCCACATCATTGAGATACATTATATGATACAGATACTAATGATTTAAATAAATTCATTAGTTTTTCTTTGAAACTGTTACCATTGACTCAAATAAACGCATTACAATATGTTGATTCTGTAGATTTGGCTGTGAGCATTCCTATGTCATTGAGGACATCAAGAGTACACTTTGATACAAGAACATTTCTTATTTAAACATCGCCACGTCTAATCCAAGGAAGTATTTCAATGAACCAAAATCCGTAATGTCAAAAACACTCCCCAATATATTTTTTCACTTTTCAAATTTCGTGATTATTTTAAGTTAGCACAATATAATCCATGTACACTATCAGTATTCTGGTAGAACAAGAATCTCTGTTAACAAATACATAATGATTGAAACAGTTCTCTGAAACCGGATCTAGCATATTGCCATACTGTATTTTTTGAACCAAGCCCGAAGTAACTATTCCAGTCCATATATAGCTTTCCTCAACTTGTAGAGCTTCCCTTTCTCCCCTTTAGGATAAAACCTTGGTAAGGTAATGCCTTCACATCTAATTTGTGTAGTAGTCATTTTCTGTTAACAGAATAGGTAAAATTGTTAATTTGAAATATGTTTTAATGAAGCTTATTTTGCTTTCTTCTGGACTATTTTGATTTATATTGTTTAGGGACTAATTAATTGAGAAAAGGCTATGATGATGATGATGATGGTTTAGAGACTAAATTTCCATATGTGGTCATGGGAACATTAATAAGGACCATATTGCTTAATGTGGTACTTTGAGACCACAAACATAACCTTCTTCCACTTTGTTTTTCATCGGGTGAACCTCTTCTCATGTACCAATTTTTTATTTTTCCATGAGTGACATGTGGCACCCTTTTATCAAACCTCATTTGTGTCATTTGTGCCTTGACAGCTTTTTGATGATGTGTTGCCATCATGTGAATATCATCCCTTCATGTGATGATATGTTACCATCATCAACATGTTATAAAAGCTTTCTTTTATGTTGCCTCTCGAACCACTTTTTTTTTTACCACTAATCTTTTTCAATCCAACCAAATTTTTTCTCTTCTCTCGTTATTTCCTCACTCTCTCTCCAACTAATTAAGAGAAAATTCTCTCACTATTCCCTTAGCCATATTGCTTTGGTTGTTCAGTGGATGCAATGGTCAATGGAGCTCGAAGTACGCCTATCTTTGGTTGTTCAGTGGATGCAATGGTCAATGGAGCTCGAAGTACGCCTATCTCTAGTAACATTACGAGGAATCTAGCTAATAAAAGCTTTCAAGTCGACAAAGGGGAGTAAATAGAAAAAGGTTTCACACGTTAGCCCGTGTTATTTTGAACTAGAGTCAACATAAACTTACTGATTATAAGGTCTATCAGATAGATGAAGTATAGAGAGTGCAACCTAGTAACTCAAGAAGTGAAATATGGATACTAGCTGTATCCTCGGAGTATACACACCAAGGCCGATGGCATCTCGGAATTTTACTGAGTCAGAGGCGTATAAAACTTCGAAAGGAGTGAGACCATCTTGGGCTTCCATGTGCCTTCAAATTTTGTATTATTGAATTTTTTACTCTCTCTTCCTCCCTCCCTGTCATTCTGAATCCAGACCTAATCCCTCAGGTGTAAACTAGAAATGAGAGAACTATTCTAAACTCTAAACCAGACCTAATACCTCAGAGGTTAAATGGAATTAGGAGTATCTCTGAGATTCATACAAGAAAATTGACTCTGGTTAAGGGGAGTCAAGAGAAACCAATAGAAAGTACCTATATTGATTTTTGCTACAGGAGCAAAAGTCTTCTTGTAGTGAATACCATATAACTGTGTAAAACCCTTAGCCACTACCTGAACTCGTTGAGGCTTTGCTCATTGCTTTCCTTGCCACTTAATTTGAATCAATGCAAAATCTTGAAGGTAACAAGAAGACAAGCTTTGTCTCTCTCAATCAAACCATTTGGTTTGTGCTTGAGAGTGTACACCTACCTTCGCCCTACAACATATTGTCTTTTTGGCCGATCAATTACTTCCCTAGTTCCCTGCTTCTTAAGGCAATCATTTCCTCAATCATGGTCGCTTTCCATTATGGATGAGCAAGTGCATGTACAACTTTATGGGAATAGCAATGGAGGAAGAAGAACAAAGATATACATGAAAGGAGGGTGAAAGTGAAGCATAGGAAACAAACTTACTAATTGAATGAGAAATACAAGTCCTTTTTTCTTCTTTTGGCAAAAGGTAAATCAAGTTGAGAAGGTAAAGGTATAGAAAGGGAAGATGCACCAGACGAGTCAACGAGTTAGACTTTCCCTTGTTCTTCTTTTAGGTGTACACATGCAATTGTTTCTCATGAGATTCCAGCTGTTCCTGGGTTAAATTGCTAAAATATCTGCAATCATTGGAAGAGGATTGTGATTGTTGAGTGGCATTATGGATATCAAATCTCTCAAAGAAGAGAAATAGGGTATATTCTTAAAGAAGGCAAGATCTTTTGGACATATTTCCGTTTAGTTACCAGATGGTAACACTTATATCAGTTATGACAGTTTGAGTATCCTAAGAACACATGTCTAGCAGATAGGGTTCCTAAGTTATTCCTAGTTGGCCCCATGGCACGCTCAAAGAATATACAACAAAAGGTTTTTGGTGGAAGAGAAAACAAAGGAAGTGCATGGTGGAGAAGTTTGAAAGTGTAAGCACCATTGAAAACAAGTGCGCAGGCATCCCATTGATCATACAGGCAGCTGGAATTCTTAGGAACCTTTATTCCGATTAAGATGGCTCTTACAACCTCTAACAAGTGTCTATTTTTCATTCTATTGTGGTGCATAAGAATATGATGTTTAATTTTCTAAACAGTGTCCAAGAAATTATTTCCTTATTCCATAATATAGATACTCTTGTGCATTATCAGTAAAAAAAAAAAAATGATTTGGGTCTAAACCTTGGTCTCGCCTATTTTATGAAATACTTTAACTTTTGCTGATACTTCACCACTACTTTTCATAAGATAGATCCAAGTATAACGAAAGTAGTCATCAATGAATAAGATAAAATAACGATATCCAAATATAGAAACAACCGGAGCAGTCCCCCAAACATCAGAATGAACAAAATCGAATGGATTAGAACTTCTATTTTCATTAGAAAAAAAAAAATGCTATACAATGTTTAGACAATTTTCAGGCCTCACATTGTAATTGGGAAACAGTCCATGAAACAAAATTATCTAGACAATAATTTTACAGATTTTAGAAACAAGCAGCCTAAGCGGCTGTGCTACGAGAGTAATTGCTCATGACTTCTAGACTCTCTAGTTAAAGAGCAGAAGTGCGTCCCATGTTGAACAAGTACATCCTATTGCCTTCACAACCACTACCAATTGTCTATCTTATTTTCAGGCCCTGAAAACACAATGTGAATTATAGAATGTTACATTGCGGTTTAGTTAATCTGGCAGGCTGCTAACTGAGAAAAGATTGGAAGGAAAAGAAGGCATAAGTATTACAGAGGTTAAGAACAAGGATGATGCAAGTTTATATGTTGCACTCCCACAAGCAATTCTCATGAATCCATCAGCAAGTTTAACTTCACTAGATACAGGAGAAAATGACAAAAAACAAAATTTCTTACACGCTAGATGATTAGTAGCCCCTGAATCAATGATCCAGGATGCAAAAAAAGTGGATTGGGAGCTATGGTTTGTAGATACACAGGTAACTGCTTTCGTATTGTCTTACAGCCAAGTGAGGCCTTGACAGCAGTCAACTAGTGCTGTAAATCTTTGATGGCCTGATCCCTTAGATTGGATACATTGGGATGTGCAGCTGAAGTTTCCTCGACCTCAATCCATATAATATTGGCATTTGCACTCATTTGCTTCACTCTCAAGTGTGGATGGGAGTCCCAACAACACTCTCCAATATGTCTACTCTTCCAATAATGGAAGCATTCAAGTTTCTTATTTTCGATGAGAGAAAGTGAAGCGTAATTTGGTCCTTCAGCGTAATTTGGTCCTTCCTTACCCACTTTCCCTTGCAAGAAAGTTGCTGCAAAAAGCTGATCATTCAGTGTAGATGCTTGAGATTTGTTCCCGCAATAGCCTCTATTATCCTCCCCCCCCTTGTACTATCTGAGGTTCAAAGTCAGGATGAAGACCTACTAAAAATTCAAAGATCATTCATTGCACGACCTTTGTTTATATGTCATCAACAGCAGGATTAATCAGCTAACAGTGGTCCAGTTCCTCCCAATAATTCCTTAGTATCCCAAAGTTCTCTTCCACAGTCATTTCGCTTTGCTGCAAATTCACTATTGTGCGATGCATTTGTTAAATGCAAACCATTTCATCTAGTTGCGAGGATGTCTTGGCTACAACCTCCCATATCTTTTGCGATTCTAAGGAATAGCAATCACCAGGTCATACTTAGCTGCAAGGAATAAAGAAATCATGTCATTACTTTCAAATTCTCACTTTCCCCATTCATCGGGGGATGGATCATTTATAGGAGGCTATTTCACCTTTCTAGGATGTAACCAATTTTCTCTGGCTCCTTAATATTATGGAAGAGTAGGACCACTCTTAAGTAGTTTGCCCCATCTAGCTTAAATGTAGTGATCATCAATCCTCGGTGGTCAACTTGACTGCTTCCCAAGGAAATATTGTGCTTGATTGTTTACTTTTTTCCTCTCTCTAAGTCAAAACCGAAAGTTTTTTCATAAGGTACTAATAACCCAGTTTTAAAGCTTGAAAAAACAATTCCCCTTTTTTGGTGTGTTTAGGAGAGAAGGATATGGAATATATTTGGTGTGATTTCTATGAGGGGTAGAAAAAAATGAAGAAAAAGAAGAAAATAAGGTCTGGCTTTTTGCTTGAAAGGAATCGAATTTTGGATAACCTTACTTGTTAAAATCCCAAGATGATCTATGAGGTTTTTGATACACCATAGATTCAAAGCCTAAGAATAAAGAAAAATCATGATTCTAGAATTGCTGGAAAAGTGGATATCTTAGGGTTTTAAGGGCTGCCCTAATATCATGATAAGATTGAGAGAAAAAAGAGAAATATTCAAGCAAACAATTGGGTAAAACATATGTGTTTCTCATTGCATAAATTATAGGGCAATGTGCCCTATTTATATATACGTATCCTCATAGGGGTATAGGTCAGCATGCATGTAAGTTTCAACTATCATACATATAGGTTACAACAGGAAAAGCATCTAGATATTATAGGATATTATACAAATTTGGTACAGAATGGGGATTAAAAAATGCATGGAATCTTGGTCAATGTGCCTTGTCACCACATGGGAGATTTCCTTAATGGTGTGAGGCCCATAACAGTAAGTATATGTTTGCTTTCTAGGCATGGGCCCTAAGAATAGTCACTACAAAGATTTCCTTAATATGCACATGGCCCATAGTAGTCACTATACTATCAATGAAAGTACAATGTATCTTTGGTCATGTTAGACGTATCAACAAACCTAAAATATTATCCATAAATAGGAACTTTTATTCCTCCTATTAGTCCTTTCATTCGACATAATCGTAGTAACTCCATTCATTGGTGACACGTCCTTAAGTGGGTTCAGGTCCTACCTCATGGAGTCCACTTCTTGAAATAGGGGATCATTGAGCTATTAAGACTTGGGGCTTTCAACCCAATTAAAAACTGCCTAATTGCCCACACGTCATACTGAAGATTTTTAGGCAAGTGACAATAAAAGTGTAGTTGCAGGAACCTTGGGGTAAGGCCATGGTCCCACCTGAGGAACTTAATCTCGTAGTACCTTTAAGGGATCTTAGAGGGAGCTGCAATTACAGAAATAAGGATCTCGTTCCCTATAAAATAGGATCTTGGTCTACATGCTTGTAGGATCCCTCCAAGGAGAAGAGTTATACTTTTAATTGAGCTACTGCTCCTCTCCTTAGTATTTTTTTTTTTTTGATATGGTTACATAGGAATGGAACTGGAGACGTTCGGCTATGAAAACGTAGTCTCTACTATCTTGACCTAAGCACGTTTCCTTGCTCCTCTCCTTAGTATTATATATTTATTTATTTAGAATATGTTTAACTATGGTGCATATCACATCATGATATACTAGAATTATAGTGTTAAAAACTACCATTTAATATCACAATAAGCCCATTTATGATATTATTAAAATGTATTATTATAGTAAATTGGAGTACTATAACTATAGTGTTGGCAATAAGCTAGGGTGTATGATAATGGACAAGTGGCCATTGGCTCGATCCTAATTTTATCATATACTATTAGTTGATCTCGTTTTATCTACAGTTGAGCTTAGATCCCTCCAGGTCAAAACCTCGATCACAGTGACATGGGATCTCATTCCCAGGCATCCCAGTATCTAGCTCCTTAGCTCGTTCAATATACGGACGTCAATCCTAAACCCAAGGAAGCTTCCACGCTGTAGCAGTTCGGCGTTCCCCAAACCCATCCCTCTCCCACCTCCAACAACTATGATTAAAAAAAATGAGCATTTGATAGATAAATTGGATGATATATCTACCAAGCACTGAGTTTATTCCTTTGTTGGTGTTGCCATATTCCGGAAAAACACAGTAAACAGATGGACCACCGAATTTATTCCTTTCAAAACTACTCAACATGACAAAGCATATATTCCAAAAACATTGAAATAGAACAATCTAGTGTCTAACCAATTAGGAACTCAATAGGAGAGACATCACCAAGAACAACTGTAGGAATTCTATTGAAGATAAATAGCTAGGCCCACAAACCACCAGAAACATTTGATTCCAGAAGTGGAGAAATGGTCTACATAACATGCACGTTCTTAAATTCTGCAACCCTATTTTGTTCTCAGGTATGTGGACACATGAATTGGTGGATGATACCATTTTGACTTGAACAATCTAGAAACTTCTTGATAAGTATTTAGCGTTGGAGTTAATCTTTAGAATCTCAATGTTCTTTTCAAACTGAGTTTGATCAATTTGTAAAAGGTAACAAACACATCGCAGACATTGTCTTTGATTCAGTAAGGATACCCAAGTATGACAAAAGAAGTCATCTACAAAGATAATAATATTGGGAACAAAGTTTGGATAAAATAGGAAAGTGGCCCACAAGTCAAAATGAAGAGACTAAAGTGACATTTACTGTAACGTAACGCAACTGAAGAACTGTCGGTAATGGACTCAAAAACTAATTTAGGTAAAAGAGTTGACCTACTGCATGACCTCTTCCAGTAAACAGACTTCTCAAGATTTTGTGCATCAAGCAAGCATCACAAGTAAACAGAACCAACCAACTTTGATCAATTAAATGACAAACAGCTAATATTCATGTTTAACCGAGAGACAAACAACACATTGGACATCTTAAAAGGATGTCAACTGAGCCTAGTATGCCAAGATCACATTTACAACTATTAGCGGTGTAGAAGAACAAATTTCCTTCCAAAGGAAATAAAGAGGACAGTAATTCTAAATTACAAGGCATATTATTGGTTGCAACAGAGTCAAGAAACCAGACAGAAGAACTAGAAGGGTATGAAAGTGCTTGAAGATCCTGCTGAGGTGCCTCCTCCGAAAGTAATCGAAGTCATTACATATGAAGTTTCTATGGACTGAGTCTGAAATGATTTTGCTGTGGAAGAACACCATTTACTAGAAAATTATTGAATGAAGCCCCAAAAGACTTGAAAAATAGATCTATAATAGCAATCTGAGAGTACTTGAAAAACCTCTTAAAACCGTAGATACACTATAAACTTATGTGTTTCAGCCTCAAAAACCTCCAATATGCATATCTATTGAATTGGGACAACTAGAGAAGAAACTTCTTAAAGAAATATAGAGTTTCAATCTTAAGTGACTATGTAAATAAGAAAAATAACAACATGACCATTTACCACCAGTTTAAGGAGGCCACAATCAACATTAGCAGTTGGAGGTGAAATCAAGTAATTGAAGGTGTGCTCAAACTGAAAAAAGAAAAAAACTGATATCTGTGAGAACCCCAAGCTATCAAATTTCATATTTGATAACTAGGGTAATTGTGACCTCCTTGTACAAAAAGTAAATGGTCCTATAGTATACAATCCCATATAAAAATGTACCACTTGTATGGAGCTGCTGCAGTGTTTGTTATAATCCAATTGTAGTGATTAATACAGTCCAGCTACAATGATCCCTAGAGTATAGCTGATCACAAATCTAGGGGTTTTGAATTGTAACGTGTAAACATATTCAAACTTTTGAACAAATTCCAAGATTGCTTCCCCACAAAGCATTAATTAATTTTTGTATGCCGGATTAATGTTCGTACATGTTCAAACAGATTAGGGTTTTTATTTAAGTCTCGCTCTAGAGTCTAAAAGATTTAAAATTAGACGGATTAAGACAGAATATATCAAATGCAAGTTTAGCAATAATAGGAGTAGAAATGAGGAAGTAGTTAAGATTGATGATCAAGAAATACCTAAAATAGATTGTTTATCATATCTAAGGTTGTCAGGGAGAATAGAGAGATTGAAGAAGATGTTGCAGATATAATTAGAGCTGGTTGGCAAAGTGGAGATGTGCATCCAGAGTTTTACGTGATCGCCGCATACCATTAAGACTGAAGGGGAAGTTCTATAGGACGGTTATAAGACCAGCCATGCTTTATGGAACAAAATATTCGGCGGTCAAAAAATAACATATTCTTACGATGAGCGTCGCTGAGATGAGGATGTTAGGATGGATGAGTGGCAAGACAAGAAATGATAGTATTCAGAAATTAATATAGAATTCAGATAATAATACACACGAGGGAACTCAGAAGTAACTTCAATATGGGATAAGATGAGGGAAAGTAGACTTAGGTGGACTCGCTGTGTGCAGCACATACCTAATACAGCAAAAGTTAAGAGGTTTTGGTTCAAGTGGAAGGCTTTAAAAGGCAAAGGGAAGGCCCAAAAGGACACGAACAGTAGTGAGAAAATACATGGTGAGTTTTGATCTTACTAAAGGTAAGGCCCTTAATAAAGGAGAATGGAAGAATAGGATTCATGTAGCTAACCCAATTGAGATAAGGCTTGGATGAGGATGATGGTTTAAGTCTCGCTCTAATACCATGTTAGAATTAGATAAACTCGGACATGATTATCATCGATTAGAGTTTGGGACTAATCTCGTATATACAGATGGTTGGGTTGTACAAAGTAGTTCTGGAAAACAAATGCCATTAACAAATTACAGACTAAGGTAACTAAGATATGAGACTAATATACATCTTAATATGTTTACATGCCAAACACAAATGTTAAGATTGTTAAATTTTTACCAAATGGTATTTATTAAAATTTAAAAGCAAATTGTTCACCCTATGCGACAATAAACTCTAGTGGACACATGTGTAAGAGGCAAGGGACAACCAATGCTGAAGACAACTAATGGATATGCGACAAGGGAAAGCAAACTCTGCACAACATGGCATAGAAAACACTCCTCAGATCTACACCCTATGTAGCACAAGGCTTGAGCATACAGGCTTGATTTAGAGCTTACTTCAGTGTTTGATGCTCTTTTGCAAAAAAGGACAATTTTGAAAGCATTTTACACATTACTGAAAAAGTAAAGATGGCATTTAATAATTTTATACGTATTGAATTTTTTAGTTTAAGAAAAAAACAATTTATTTCACTATTAGTTTAAGAAAATATCCACATTATTAAGAATGCCAAAAAAAATACTCTGTAGTTACTTTAAATATAAGGATTTTCAAGTCTAGTTCACCTATATAAAAGCGCACACAAATGATGACACATGCTTGATTGAGATTGGTTGGAGTTGTACGTGACTCATAAGTTCTCTTTTTCATTTCAGAGATGCGACTACCACAGCCTTCAAAAGGGTAAATTTCAAAATATTTCCTGTGTTCGTCTAGGCATCCCACTTGCATTATGACTAATTTTAATCCATTACCCTCATGAGGAGGGTAGTATACTTCTTGCCAGGAGAATATTTACATCATGGATGGAAAGTTGCACACACTACCACCAACATGCTTCAATTCCCCAATAAAAAAAAAGTTACACGTCCAGTTTTAATGCATAAAAACCATGAAGTTTGAGGGTTATCCTCCAAAGAAGGACTAACAAATCATTGATCAGAAGAAACATAGAGTAAGGAGTTTCTTCATTGAGATATACTCTGTTTTACATGTTCGGATTTGACTTTTGAATTAGGCCTGAGGGCCTCAATTTCATCAAGTTGATACTGAAGACTACATATTCCATTGAAAGCTACTGGTCTTGTTCACAATAATACTGGGCCTAAACTCCAAGTAAGGGAATGTCACAACCCCACTCCCTACCGTCCCCACCGGACCCACAGAGGGCTAGGCCCGGGCCTGCCGGAGGACCATTCACGCCCTATGGTCCTCCGGCGGACCCGGGCCTAGCCCTCTGTGGGTCCGGCGGGGACTGTAGGGAGCAGGGGCGTGACAGGGATCTAACCAAAACCACCTCAATCAAACAATATCAACAAACCTCATCAATTATGCACTCATCAATACCTCGCCAGCCAAAACTACACAACACCATACAAGTATTCTACCATTGCCAGAATCAACATTAACATTATTCTCTAGAGCAACAATGATAAAACCTTGTTCACAATAATACTGGGCATAAACTCCAACCATAGCATCCAACCAAAATTGCTCTCAAAGATGTTGATCAGTTTTGTATATGTTGAGCGAGGTGTAAAGATGTATTGTCACAGTCTTGAAAACAACAGATGTGTGTTGAACTCCGACACCCACATCAGTAAGTGCAACAACACTGTCAGAATCAAATTTACTAATTCAGGAGGAGATAGAGATGCACATCATCAGTCTTAGATTCTTTTTTTTATTGGTCAGTCTAGAGTCTGTTTCATCACATCCAAAATCTTCAAAAAAAATTTGAGATACATATCCAATATCTTCAATTTCCAGCTAAATGTTGTTCTCAATATAATAGAACGCATAACTTGCTTTCGAAGGAACAGAAAAGCAAAGAATCAGAAATCATACCTAATTGAGTTTTCTCACATTAGTATACAGCTCCGCCTCAAAGTATTTCTAAAACAAGAAGAAATACGTCTTTCACACATTCAGTGCACTCCATATCCATGAGTAACAAGTTCTTCTGCAATAATATTTCTTGCTTCATTACATAATTCATCTGCATTGCTTCCTTCAATAGGCTTATGAACCATGACCTTAACAGGTCCTGTACTGATGGTGGCCTCCATGCCAGTAGGCATAAGCTTCCCAGTTCCCATCAGAGTAATTGGTACAACAGGTACCCTGGTCTTTGCAGCAACACTGAATGCTCCTTTCTACAATCCGCAACAAAAGGAAAAAAAAAAAATAGGAGAAATATAATATCCAACCTTAGACTATTACCATAAATGACCTTTCTTTGTAGGATAATTTAGCATAAATGACCCAGAAAACAATAAGGAGAGTTTCTACCAAACCTTAAAAGTGCCCATTTTTCCATCCTTGCTACGAGTTCCCTCGGGGAAAAAGAAGACCGAAGCCCCCTTCTTCAACAATTCCATGCACCGTTTTAAGCATTCCTGCGACACCGACAAATAAGAATGCTTAAAATCAAAACTAAATCCGAAAAAGATGTGCCTCAAGCCATTATTAAAAGAATAAAATACAATTGAAAGAAGAAAAGCAGGAAAAAGCATTGCGCATGGAAGACTACCTAAAGTATTTAAGGCAATTCAGCAGACAATATCTAACTCTAAAGAGAAAACCCTTATGCTGCTTTACGAAACCAATCACAATGCTACTTTAGAAAACATGAATTGTAATAAGCTCACAAAGCTCTAATCTCATCAGAAATCTAAAGTCATAAGTGCCTTCAATCATAACCAGTTCAACCCAGAGTTAGCAATAAAACAAGAATAGAGAGGGAACCCAAATTGGAAATTTGAGTGTATTAATATACCATGACACAGAATGTTTTCTTTCGTGACAGGTATCATAGCAAAACAAAATTACCAGCTGACTTCTGTTATCCATCCTACGCAAGGGTATGTCGCCTTTGAGAAACATGGCCCATCCAACAACTGGGATGAGAAAGATGCTGGTTTTGCTAATAAATTTGAAGCTTCTCCCAAGGATTAGCAGAGTGAATATGTCCAAGAAGCTCTGATGGTTTGAAACATAAATGGCAGGAACATTGTTAGGAGGCAGATTCTCTAATCCTTCAAATTCAACCTTACAAAATGGAAAAACTGTTAAGCTTGCCCAAATCTTAGCAATGAGATGATGGGCACTTCTTCGATGCCTGTCGAACAAATAGACAAAGGGGTGAACCACCAACATCACCAAGAACAACGTGATTGCCACAATTCCAGTAATGGTGTAGAAGAAAATACCCCGCACTTTTGGACTAAATGAAACATCTGTTACTGATTAAGAGACAAGAAACAATCAGAATATTTAAGAGAGTGGAAAATTTTAGATAATCTAAGATACAAAAGAGAATTCAAGAAAAAATAGAACAAAGAGATGAACCTGTTAATGAATTTGCAGCATTGGGACTACCAGTTCCTGTGAGTTCAGATCTTACGATGGTTCTCTTGGGCTGTTTTCTTCCATGTGTCAAATACAATTTACAATCTTCGACTCTCTTAAACAGGTATCCGGAACCATGAAAAGCGTTTCTATGGTGGCTCGTACATTTCATTTGGACCCCTGAAACGCAAAGTTAAATACATAACTAAAAACCAAAAATAAAGGAGACTATGTTTTGCTGATAATAAAAACGAAAAAACAGATTGCAGTCACAAATTTTTCTTGAAATTTAATCTGCTGTTATTCATAAGGAAAAGAAAAGAGAAATACAAAAATATGTGAAGACAATGCATTATTTATACACTAAAATTCACCTGTCCTTGAAAACTATAGAAGTTCAAGACACATTCAATCGGCACTCTATTTTCAGAACTCAAAAAAAGAAAAAGAAAAAGAAAAGAAAATCAGAAGATGCGCCTTTTCTCCATCAATGCTTAATCTTTAAAACCTACAAGATAAATACGCTCCAAAAACACTGATTCCAATAATTTTCAACAGTCTGGCTCTGTTTCCTTAAAAAAAATCCTGAAATGCTAACCAAAAGAAAACCAGGAAAGTATTCTACCATCTCGCTAAACATGGTTTTAATCCATTAACGACTTACCATTAAAGCTCGGCGAACTGTGCAGACTGAGGCACCTACAGTTGGCCGCAACTGTGCGGAGTTTAGAGTGAGAAAGAGATAGAGAGACGGGGGAATTGAAGGTTGTAATGGCGTCCATTAGAGAGAGAGAGAGAGAGAGAGAGAGAGATTTCCGGGCAATCCAGGAAAGAAAAGTGAGAGAGCATCGGTTAGAGGAAACATTGAAAGTCGGAAAGTTTATGAGAAGTTCTTTTTCTTTTGTTCTTTTCCACTCGATCTCTTATCTCTCTCTCTCTTTCTTTTTGTGCTCTCTCTCTCTCTCTCTCTCTAGACGCGAGCTAAATTTCCGAACAATGCGGCCTCTCTCACGATACCTGGGACTCTGGGAGCATCGGGAAAGCATGTGCTATAATCCAACGGAGTAACACTTTGAACCCAAAGACCATAGAGTATATAAGTACGACAGTCCAAACGGGCATCTGCCGTATTTCTCGCTTTCGACCGGTGGAGATCTTCCTGTATCAAATACTCGTTTGATGATTGAAGATATTATCGTATGGGATAAATCAGACGTGAAAATCTGCAATTTAAATCATGTTATGAAGTTCGAGAAATTATATTTTAGACTTTGTACTCAACTGAATGACACACTCTTGCCCACTTGATTTTATATCTGATGGCCGATAATAATTGTGACTTCCTAATATTAAAAAGAAAATGATTTTATTACATATGTTTTCTTTTATTTTTCTTAGGGAAATCTACTAAAAACGCACTCAACTGATAAACTATTTCATAAATTGGTAATTTTTTATTTAATTTCAAAAAATATTCTATTGCCACATAATCATGAGTTGCATAGTTATTTTAGAAGTGTTTCACTAAAACTAAAACAGATAAAATGTAAAATAATTGATATTTTAGATGTGCTTTGATAAATTTCCCTTTGCTTTAAGAATATTTGAGTATTGTGTTCTTCAAACTCAAAAAGGATGAGTGCGCTATAATGTGCCAACCCAAAAAGGAATTAGTGACCTATAAATGTGCCAAAGCTGTTTGGACATAGCTTGGATTGAAATGTATTTAGAGAGGGGATGCATGTGTACGTAGGAGTCCGCTTACTCATGGAAACATTATCATTTCTAAAGTCCTAACCAATCTACTTTTGCATATGGGGCGATTTCTCCAAATGCAATGTGGTGCGTTTGATTTCGGGAACTTCTAGCTCTGGAAAACAGAACTTCCAATTTTTTTGTAGTACTTCTATGTTTGAGAACAGGAAGTGATACTGCTAGTTCCATGTCCCCCCCATGGAAGTTTGAAGTTTGAAGTCTGGTAGCTTATAGGCTCAGTGTCATTTTCAAATTTGCTCCCTACAAATTTTTTGTTCTTATTTTTTATAAATCTCTGATGTAAAAGAATTTTGGAAGAGTTGTATATCTCACTAGATTGCATCTTTAAGGCAAATTAAAGTGACCAAAATTCCATTCAAAGTTTTGATGCCATTTTGGTCATTTTAAATATTTAAATTCTTTGTTTTATATTTTTTTGAAGATACATGAGGGCTAGAAGAATGGACACCTCAATTTTGAGCTTATTATAATGTACAAAAAAAGGATGGAATTTAAATACTTAGACATGCCATCCACCGCCTATTCAAAATAAGACGATTGAGATGACAACCTTTTAGTTGGACTACAATGTGGAATATTTTATCATTTTGAAAATGTTAGCCTTATATTTATCTATTTTTATTTTTTTCTCAATATTCAATTGAGATGATATTTGGAGTGTGTATGCACCTCATTCAGCTGCATTTGCAAAAACTACAAAATATTTCAAACAAAATAAAATTACCACAATAGCCCCTCAAAGTTTAAGCGATATTTTGGCCATCTTATTTTTTTGAGATATTCTTTTTGTATTTTTTACAAGTGCATGAGCTGAGAATAATGAATGCTTAAAATTGTTGTTCAATCAAATGTATGGGAAAAACAAAATTGAGATAATTAGACATGCTCTCAACCATTTATGTTTCAGTGACTTACAACCACATTACTTTCTTTTATGTGATCTAGACTGTACATTATGTTAAACATACATATGGATGGTATATGATTATAAAGTCTTCATCATTGAACAAATGTCATAATCTTATAATAAAAACTTCAGTGAATGGCTAAAATTGATAATTTTCATATCCCCATGTTTGTAAAACCCTACATTCAATGGAACACAGGCTCCTTGACTTCCTAGAATTCCAAATAGGTTGTCAAACACTATATTTAACAATTTCATAACAAAATATCTAGCTTCCAAAAGTTTAGAACTTCCACTTCCTAGGAAACTTCCGATTAACCGGCCCTAAGTCTCTTAGATTTGGTACTTAGTCAAATGGATAGGTCATGTTTGGGTTGGCAATAGTAATAGAGCATATTTGAAGCTCCATGCCAGTCTCAAAGTAGTTTTTTGAGGTGGTGAAACATTATCTATTCTATGAATAATAAAGTTCTTGGGATGTATATGTGTTGGTCATGATCATGCAACAAGGGCCATTACTTTTCATCATGGATTTAGTAATATTACGATTAGGATTACATGTGTTGTAGGTAAAAATAAAATAAAAAATCACGCAAATAATCGCATAAATATGCAATAGATGATATATAGATATGCAATAACTGTTATAGATATGTAATAAGTGTTCACATAAATAATTACATAAACTCTATCCATGATAGCTTCGAGAACATATTCCGGTGTAAGTTCCATGATGATTTTACGTAATAATTTTTGCAAATACATAATCCATAACCACTAATGCTTCTAACAAATAAATCAACGACCAATATTTTTAATAGTATGACAATAAAAATCAATAATTTTGTATGCATGACAACAAATAAAAAATAAACCTATTATTCATGCATGGCCAATTTTATGATTATTACAAGTGTTAGGGATGCATGCATAGGCCATGGGATTAGTACTAATATAAATTTAAGAAAAAACTCCAATAGATACATAGATATAAAATTATATTTTTATTCCATATTATTGTCATTAGCATAATTAAATTTTTATTGCATATTTTATAGTCTAAAATAGGGAATTAGAGATAGTATCATTGTACCTATTTTTGATGAAAATTAAAAATAATTTTCATGAAGCATTTTTATTGTTAAAAGTTTAAAAAAAATCTTGACAGGTTTTTAATTAATAAAAATATTAAAAAATTTTAATTTCCTACTTTAATAAGTATATAAAATTTAAAATACGGCAATTAAGATCTGGCACCTACATCTTCCACCATAGGAAAGAAAACCAACATTGATCTACCCAAATCAAAAGATGGGACCTTACACCTGAATATGTCCTTGAATTATAAGAAAGTGCACCATGTATAAACATAGAGGGAGAAAGTGCACCATGTATAAGAATTATATGGCTTTGAAGATGCACTGATCCAAGATTGAATAAAGTTATTAAAGCTAAAAAATCCTTTGAAAGAAGGGGATGTTCTACTTTTTTGAAACTGTGCTCTAGATCATGCCCATTTTTATAGTTACTTGCATCCAACACCAAGCTTTGGTTTAAATGTGAATAATATTATACGCAGGAGAGTGATCGGATTAGGAAAAGATCCCGGGCTTAATTGGTTAGACCTTGACGAATTGTAAGGTTACATCCAAGGCTCAATTCCTACTGAGGGTAGGGGCCCTCCCTAGTGACTCACATTAGGTTTCGGATTAGAGGAGTTTGATAACATTAAGTTTGGGATATTTTGGTAAGTAGTAATAATATCCTAAAAAGAAATACATGCAAAATTAAATATGACTTAGCTTCAAATTTTGGCAACCAATATCTTCAAAATATAACATACATTGGCAACCAATATCTTAATATATAAATAAATTTCTATCCTCTTTCTCCTTCCTCTTTCCATTTTAAGTTCTTCTTATCTTTATGTTATTCTTAAGAAATTGATACAAAATGTGGGAAAAGATGGGATTACCCTTAGAACTGGGAAGTTTTTGAGAAATTTTCCTGTAAAAATTAGGAAGTTCATGAAAACTGAGATTAGAGAGATGATGAGAGTTAAAACAAAAGTACAGGAAGTAGAGAGCTAAAGCTAAAAATAGAGAGGCATGAAATTTTATCTTAATAAAATGGAATCCATTGAACTTATAGGGTGCCCTAAGTTCTGGTTACTTGCCACGTTTGTTTTCTAGGAATAGGGCCTCCATTTATTCTTGCGACTTGTGTCCATCCCTCAATTACAATTTAATAATATAATATAAATATAGATTTATGCAATAGTAGCCTAATAAATAAAAATTTCTTTCTAAGGTGTAAATGAAAAATTCTTTAATTTTTTATTTTAAAGTAACGGGTGCAGTTTGTATAAAGTTGAAGTCTTAAACAATCCAAGTAAGGCACACCTTCAAATGGTACCATAAGATGTCGTTTCAATGCTAAAAATCTGTTTGATGGCCAAAAAATATATTTTTATTCATAATTATAAACTTTAATGTTTAAAAAAATGTGTAAATGGAGTAGATCTACTAACACTTGAAAATATTGAAAAGACGGTCTAGATAATGCATTACGAAATGCACTGTTTCCAAGACTTTAAATCTTTTTTTTTTTTTACTCATAGATCTCGAGGTCGAGATGCTTAATTAGAGGGTTTTTCAGCATAAAAAACCTTTTTCGGTGAGTTTTTGAAGTGCGTTTTACTTCGACAATATACAGCTGGCACCTCATATGAACTTTTTTATGAAGTAAATATAATATGAGTACTACAAAAATTTTGTGATTTTTATGTTTATTTTTAAATGAAGATGTACTTAGGAATCATATGTATAAATGAGGATGTAATGCCACATTACATTATCACGCCGTAGTTTCTTTTCTGGGAAATATTTTCATGCCTTCATTTTATTTAATAGGGATTTTTTTTTTTTCAAATATTACTGGATTTATTAATAATAGAAAATTACATCATCTATTTAATAGGGAAATTACAGGCTTTCCTTAAATACTAGGTCCCATACAGCACAACCCCAACGAATATACTACAGGGCTATCTCTGAAACTATTTTTTTTCTCATGGACCCACTAATTTATTATATTTGTGACAAGAATATAACTCCTATCTTTTAAAAAAAAATATATATATATATGCATAAAACAAAATAAAAATACCACAAACCACTGTCCCCTTCTTGGCTTCCCACTCCCATCTCTCTCTGCAGCTCCTCCCCTCCTTTGGCTCTTTTTTGTTTCGGGTACTATCATCTCTACAC